GAGATAACCAGCCAGCTCAATTTTAAGTAATCTTACATACTTTGTTTATAAAGCTTACTTGACACAGTGTAGTACTGTCTCTCAGGGCCTGGACTGTTTGAGTTCGAAGATCTGCTCTGTCATTTATCAAGAGTATGACCGTGGGCAAATCATTTAATCTCTTTGTCCCTCAATTTCCTCAACTACAAAATGGAGTACAATTCACCTAAGTAGATTGCTATGAAGATCAAATGAATAGATATAAACCACTCAGAACAGTGCCTGGCACAAGGCAAACACTGCTTCAGTGTTAGATGTTTTTATTATTAAAGGCAAAGAGTAACTTGGGGAAAAATAATTTACTTCCGGAAAACTCAGCAGATTTAACAAGGGTAGAAATAATTCCAGAGTTTTAAATTCCAGGCTGTCCCTTTTATTAACATTTATTAGTAGATTTTATATTATATATATTTCTGGGAACAAGTTTTCAATCAGTTTTTAAAAAGTTTTATGGAAGTATAATTCACATACAAGATTGCATATTGAAATGTGCAATTTGAATAGTTCTGACATATACAAGGGGTCTACAAAAAGTTTATGGAAAGACTCATATTATCTTTTAATTCTACTTTTCCACCAACTTTTTGAAGTACCCTCATATATACTCCCAGGAAATCCTCACTATAATCACGATACTGAACATATCCACTATCCACAAGTTTCTTCATGCCACTTTGTAATCCCTCCCATCTCTCCCCAAGGCAACCACTGATCTGCTATTTGTCACCACATTTGTCAACAAATGTGTTTAATTATCAATTGATGTGGTATTTATTAAATATTTGAATGATGGTAGGAGAAAAAGCTAAAGAACATAAAATGGCAGGCTCTATTAATATAAAAAAATAAAAAAGTAGTTTCTAATGATGAAGGTAATTTAGGGTACTTATATGAAGAAATTAAAAAGTTACCAATAAAATTTATGAAAAAATTATTTAACTAAGAAATAGTTGATTTGTGATGCTACATAGTAATTCATGGTGTCGCTGACATCGTTACATGACTTTCATATTTTCATATTTCATTAAGTTAGTCAATAGGAATTGGTTGGTTGTCTATTTGTGCCAGGGACTAAGAGGATTACCCTGGTGACAGGGAGATCATTTACACTTGTGCTGTTTAAAACATTGCTCACTAGCCATATGTGGCTATATAAATTTAGAAATTTAGTTCTCAGTTGCACTAGCCACATTTTAAGTGCTCAAGAGCTATACATGGCTAGTAGCTACGATTTTGGACAGTGCAAATATAGAAATTTCCATTATCATGAAAGTGGTGTCGAACAGAGCTGATTTAGAATACTCTTGAGATATGTTATCTATGGTGGAAGTGAGAAGGGTCTAAGGTGAAGCAATGGCAACGAGGTGGGGAAGAGAGATCTCTCTCAGATACCTAATGTGAGCAAAAGTGAGGAGGGGGAATGTATTTAGGATGCCTTTCAGGTTCCTCCCTATGGTAAATGAGTGAATCATAGTAAATGTAGGAGAAGAAGCAGGATTTGGGAGAAAAGGATGAAATCAGATTTGGACCCAGTGAGTGAGAGACAACCTTGGGACAGACCAACAGTGCCTGGAGGCTGCTGGATCTCAGAATGTGATATGCACAGGATATGTGGAAGGAACTGCATACTTGGTGGAAGCACCAAGGAAGGAGCAATAGCCATGGATAGGGGCTGGTGCCATGCACTGGGATGAGCACACTCAGGGAAAGGTTGCATGAGATGGTCAGAGGTTAACATCAGAGCCTAGAGAAAACTGGCATAGGACAGGGTTTTCAAATCGCCGGTGGGTCATGAAATCAACAACATAGGTCAAATGGTCTCCACCTATGTTAAAAAATAGTATACAAATATCAATGACCTTTGCACATAATTTGGGAACGGATCTTTCCCTGAAACTTTTTTATGAATGTATTTACATACATACATGTATAGTAGATTGCAAGGTAAAACATATTTCTGGGTTATGTTCCAATTAGTTTGTCATCAATTTATAAAATGAGCACCACAGACTATAAGCTACATGAGAACTGGGATAGTATCCTTTTTCTCTTCATCATCTGAAATTCTGGTACATAATAGACTCTCAATAAAGACATACTGCATGAAGATATGAATCAATGGGCCAGAGAAGTAAAAGGCAACCCAGGATAAGAGTGACTCAGAAACCAAAGAATAAGAAAGAAGAGAGAAATAACCCAGTGTCAGATGTCAGTGTTTTGTCAATATTGAGAGCACGGATCACCTTATCTCTACAATTTCTATGGACTGGCAGCAGCAGAGTCCAGACTGATGTAAATGGGAGCGAAGAAAGTGGAGACGAGACATGTACAGAGAAGAGATATATAAGAAAGGCAGGCTCTAGAATTGTGCTGTCTAATAACAGAACCACTAGCCATATACGGCTATTTTAAATAAAAATTAATTAAATAAAAATACAGTTCCTTTATTACACTAGCTCCATCTCAAGTGCTCAAGCACCACATGTGGCTAGAAGCTACTACACTGCACAGAGCTGATAGAAAACATTTCCTTCATTGCACAAAGGTCTACTGGACAGTGCTGCTGTAGAGAAAAGTTTTAACTCATCATGTCTATGTTGGCTTCATCAAAATAAACCTAGGTTAAATCAGTGTACAGTCCACCCGCCCCCCTCCCCCCATCACTTCCTACCCCAAACATTACCCAAGCACAGCAGAAAAACTATTGGGAAATTATATTACAATTTATACATGACAGAACCACACTTGGTCTCAGTGGATAAGTGTTAACTCCAGGAGAGGCCAGTGGAGACATCAAGGGTGTTGCTGAACCTCAGCATGTAATCTAGGGGAGTCTAGGCATTATACATATTCATGATATTTTCCTACCAAATCTGAGACAAGCAGCAGCAGCTTGTGATTGGTGAGGACTAAATGCATAGGGAAAAGGAGCTGTGGAATGGAGTATAAGGATAAGTATTGGAGGGCTGAATAGGAAAGTTTGGAGAATTCAGGGTAGGGTCGAAAGAAGACGGTAGGTAAAATGGAGTCATTACAGTGAAATTCTAGTTCTACAAAATTGAAGTGACTGGTAGAGAACAAATAAATTATGTTTATGACTTCTGTATGCAATTTTCATGGTTTTTTGTGTAGTACCTTAATGGCAAAAAGGAATGTGATAGAAGACTGAGGTGTTATTATCCATATCAGAGCTGTCCACTTAGATACCGTTACTCAGGGTTCCAGTGACTTAGTGGAATGAGAAAAGCCACTTTTGGAATTAAAAGAAAATAAAACTTCTAATTTTATGAAAAAATCTCTTAAATCTCCTTTTTAAAAGGAATATATTTGGCTCTACTTAAAACTTTTTAAAATGTGGTTATTCACAGGGTGAGAGGATGAAAGGAGGCAACTGAGAACTGTAGAATTCTTGGTACATAACAACTCCATCCAAACTTCTGAACTAAGATACAACTAAACTCCTATGGCTTCTAGAAGCATCAGGTCATGTCCCTAGGATGACCCCAGCTATCCCTCTCTCCCCCGCCCTACTAAAATGCCTGCCAACGAAAGCTCAATGCTGTCAGGAAAATTTATTTGTTCTAGTCAAACGTGATGATAAGCTCCTGACCTCCCTTTCTCAGAGCATTTACTAAAAAGGGCTTACAATTACGAATCATTCCTTGCCCCTGTAACAGGTACACGTATCTCCTACAATTCAGGAGTGTTTCTGAAAGACCCGAGGGCCACTCTTTTGAAAAGTAACAAGGCCAGGGCCTGTCTCTCCCATTCTCAGTGGGAGGACAGAACCCTAACTTCGATTACTGCCAGCTAGCAGGCACAGCTAGCCCAGTATCATTTACACTGTCCAACTCTTTGTAATTTTTCACTTTTCTGACTACAGAGCGCCTGCTCCCCCTCCTTCCGCTCATTCTCCTTTTAAAATGCTCAATTAGGGGTGGCCAGTTAGCTTAGCTGGTTAGAGGTGGGTTTGATCTCTGTACCGGCCGGCCGCCAAAAAAAAAAAAAAAAACCAAACCAAACCCAAACCCACACAAAAATAAAATGCCCAGTCACCTCTGTACAAGTTGGAATGAAGCTGAGCTTTTCCTCCTTTAATATGTTTAACTATGTTTTCATCCCTTTAACTAATGTCCGGCTGTGTTTATATTTGACAGGATCCAGAGGGAAGAGGAAGAATTCAGTCCATTTTCCATCTCCATCTCCAGGGTAAACCCTGAGTTGGCTCTGAAGAAGTCAGACCTTTTCTAAAAACAAAACATCCAACCCCGAAGCCCTTCCCCTTCGGCCTCGGCCCTTGCCTTGCCGAGCGACACCCAGAAGTGTCCACCAGGTCGCCCATTCATTGAGTTACGTAATGATACACGAGGCCACGTAACGAACTGCCTCCTCGAGGTCACTTGAGCACCGAACGCATGACAGTACTAAGTTAACGCTGACCAAGCTTCTAATTAGCATTCACGGTATAATTAGTGACCCCACCGAAACGACGTTTAGAGGAGGCCTGGCTCAAGGAGAAGTAACGCCGGGGTCGCGGTGGTGGCGCCGGCCGGAAGCCTCAAAGAGAGGGATTTACCCATTAGAGCTGTCCACTTAGACGCCGTTACTAAGGCTCCCACTGACTTCACTTGAGCGAGAAAAGCCACTCCTGAGAAATGACTATGCGTCTCAACAGCAGAGTAGGCTCGTTCCCGTACTCGACTAGCACCGGCAGCTGCTGCTGAAAGTTCACGAGTTCACTTCCGGCGTCGTGCCCGCTTCCCTGGGCGAGGCCGGAAGTGGTTTCCGACAGCGGGCGCCGCAGCGCCGTAAAGGAAGATGGCGGTACTCTTTCTTAGGAGGTCTTCTGGTAGTATTTCTACCACTTCCCTACTTACCAGGGACTCCATCACTCGCCCTAGTTTTTCTCAGCAGTACACACTTATGTTTTACTTTCATTCCGCCTTCGTGGAGGATGAGCAGGAGGCAACGTAAAGCGAGCCTGAGCACTGTGGGGCACCACTTTGTACGGCAACTGAAGGCCGGGGATGGGCAAGGGTTGAGGAATCCAGACTAGGCTTGCGAGAGCGTGGGAGGGCGGGCGTTTTTTGCCCGGTGAAGTATTTCCGCTTCCTCTGGGCCCCGTCGTTTTTGGTTGGACCGGTTTGTTGCAAGGAGGGGGAAGATTGTTTGCAACCTAGGAGCTCTGCGCACGGGAAGGTAAACTGAGGTTAAGGCTGTGAAGGGGGTGCTCTTGCCTGTCTGTGTGGGATGGCTGGCGGCGGGGACCTTGGATTGCTGAAGAGTGTTGGGCTCAGATTGTCCGTAGGGTTGAGAAAGAAGAGAAGGTGGGGCGGGGCTGGGGGTTACGTGGTGAATTGCAAAGCCAGGCAGGGGTGGAGTGGGACGGGCGGAAGAGAAGGGGGGATGGAGGAGAGGGTGGAGGCTCAGAGGGAAGTCTGGAAGGCTCTGGTTGGGGAGGGGATGTGTCGAGAGGAGCTGGGACAGGGGAAAGAGTAGGACCTAAAGTCCTGAGGGCTGAGGAAAGAAGGTGAGGAGGGGGTTACTCGGAATGCAGAGGTGTGGGGACACGGTAGCGTGAAGTCTTTGGGAGGCTGAGGGATTGGAAGGGGCTGGTGGCCGAGGTTCTGATGCTAACATGACCATATACTTGGCCTTTGTTTCCCCCGAAGCTCCCCAGAGACGCTCATCCTGCAGCCTCTACTCGGGCCCAGCCTCCTCTCTCCAGCTGACACAACAGCCTGGAGGCGTCTGCCTCCACCCTCCCGAATGGTGCTCCTCTTCGCAGGCCTCGGCCCAGGATCCAGGCCCCCTTTGCCCCCTACCTTGGAGCTGTTGCTCCAGATCTCTCTTGGTGGACTCCCCCTGGAGCAGAGGGAAAAACTTTTGCACAGACAAGGTTTTAGCTCTAGGAACCCCACTGACAACTTGAATCTCAGCCTATAATAGAGTGTGTGAGGTTCTTCCTGTGCTCCCTTTCCCATTCTTTTGAGAAGAGAAACCCTTCTCCTTACCATCTAGAGCCCAGGAAGCCCCAAGCTGGGGCCCTGGTCCCAGCATGTCAGTCCTCTCTTGTGCATAGGGCTCTGCCCTCTCCCCGTCAGCATGGCTGAGCTCAGACAGGTTTCAGGAGGGCGGGAGACCCCACAGGGGGAGCTGCGGCCTGAGGTTGTAGAGAATGAAGTCCCTAGGAGCCCAGTTGCAGAGGAGCCTGGAGGTGGAAGCAGCAGCAGTGAGGTCAAATTGTCCCCAAGAGAGGAGGAAGAACTGGATCCTAGAATACAGGTGAGAAGACTGAATGGGGAGAGAAAGAGAGCTCAGATTCCAGCCTTCCTGAAGAGTTGTCAGGTGAATGAGGGCTTAGATTATTCTCTTCCAAGTGCACTACGGCAGGAATGGAAAACAAGTTTGGCAACAAATCATTGCAATATCGATTCCAGCCTTCCTGAAGAGTTGTCAGGTGAATGAGGGCTTAGATTATTCTCTTCCAAGTGTACTACGGCAGGAATGGAAAACAAGTTTGGCAACAAATCATTGCAATATTGTGTGATAAATGCCAAATGAGTTGTGTGTTGGTAGAAATGTGGAGAAAAGTCTGGCCTGAGTAACGAAGTGCCAGTTTGAGAGCATATGCAGGTGGCACACTTTAGGTCAGTGGAAGGTAGAACTGTTGTGCTTCCAAATAAGCAGACTGGCTGCTAGCTCAGAGATGCTGTGTGAGTGGGAGGTGAAAGGAAGTGACTGAGATTGGGAGACAATATTGAGGCTGGGTGAGGGAATCTTTTCCCCTTTTCCACCTTCTCATCGTTGCCTTCCAGGAAAGTTCATATCTCTAAATGGGAGCACCTTTCAGGTGTTATAAAGGTGGCATCAGGTTTAGGCCTATAAGAAAATCCCATATGTTCAAGGATTTGTATCAGTCGTAGTTAGTCCTTAGTAATACACCTTCTGTGCTCTCAGGATGGTGGTTTACCAAAGGAATGGAAGAGCGGTTTATTACCTTGGAATATTTACAGTCTAGGTGGTAGGACAGGCAGATCTTTGTGTAGACCTTGGGGTGGTGGGTGAGGAAGACTAACATCGTGTGGAGAAGATGTGTGGCTAGCTGAAGCTGGGTTGCAGTGTTTCAGGGCAGTGGCTGAGAAGGGCTTCATGGGGAAGCTGCTTGGGCAGGTGACTGCCAGGATGCTCCTGTACGTTTGGGGCCCGAGTCTGCCATTAGGTCCAGTTGCATCTCCAAGATTCTATTGTTGTGGAAGTGACTCACCCCTCTACAGGTGAGCAAGAGCATCTCCAGGCTTGAATTCCTGGGCTTCTCTGTCAATAAACCTTTATTGGATTACTTCAGTGAGTTGAGAAGAAATCAAAGCTGGTCCTGGCATCTTTCCAGCCTTCTTTGTGTGGGTTCCCAGGATATGTATGTGTGAGAGCTCCTCTCTGACTGTGTTTAGGCTTACAATGAAGCAGTGGTGAGTCATTCGTTTCTAGTATAAGTCAGTAGTTTACTTATGCTGTGCCTCATGGACTTTGCATTGAGAATAGCTCAATTTCTGTTGCTAATTTTACAGATTTGTCATCCACTGAGGAAATAAGTTATAATGAAGAAAGCCTTGGGCTGAGATTCAAGCAACCTCTAGCCCCATGATTTGTGATTTTTTTATGGAAATTACTTAACCTCTCTGAGTCTCAGTTTCTTTATCTGTAAAGCGAGGGGTTGGTCTAAGCAAGTCATTCTCGCTCTGCTCTGACACGGATCTACGATTCTTTTCTTTCACAAACTGTTGCTTGTTCCTTGGTGAAAGTTTGTAGGTAGCACTTTAGGAAAGAGATATCTCTGTTCCTTGGAGAGGAGGCTCTGTGTAATGCTCTTCATATACTTCCCTGAAGAATTCCTTGCTCTGCTCCAGAGGATACTTCTCTGGAGAAGAATTCACTGAGGTCTCTTTGCTCAGCCTCTCCTGCTCCTGTGTATTTTTCCATTGTTCACATTGCCAGAGGTGGTAGTATGAAGAGTTGCACTTCACTGTACAGTAAGGTAGCTGCTAGCTGAATGTGGATACTTAAAATCAGTTAAAACTTACCAGCCAGCTGCCAAAAAAAAAAGAGAAAAATCAGTTGAAACTAAATAAAATTAAAAGTGCAGTTCCTTAGGTATTGTACTGACAGTGCAGAAATAGAATATTTCTGTCATCACAGACAGTTGTATCAGATGAGCTCTGTAAGGGTTGGAGTATACTGAGAAGGCATAAGATTCACTTTGCCCCCACCGAGCTTGCAGTTTTACTGGCGTAGGTGGGGTAAACCAGACTCTAGTCTCTCTTCCTAAAATGTGCGGCATGTTGTGGAACATTGTGGTTTTCATAGGGAGGTAAGGTCTTGTAGTGGCCTCCCTCATTTGATGACACAGGCATGGCTAGGCCAGTGCAGGGAGGAATATAATGTTGCGGCATGTTGTGGAACATTGTGGTTTTCATAGGGAGGTAAGGTCTTGTAGTGGCCTCCCTTATTTGATGACACAGGCATGGCTAGGCCAGTGCAGGGAGGAATATAATGACTTCTTGCCATATGAGAGCCACCCTTCGCAGAGGAGGCCAGCAGCATTTTGCCGTTCCTTGTTTGGGCTCCTCTTCTGGCTAAGAACAAGATTGGGGCATGTGTCTTTTGGGGCTGTTTTTAGTGCTGACAGTGCACCAGACCATATTGCTTGATAATGTGTTTCAGTGTTTTAAATGGCTGTTTATTTCTTTGGATTCTCAATGCTTTTGGTGGGTCTCTACCAATACATCCATCAAAATCCACAAGAGAGCTTTAAAAACACCCTTTCTAGACCCTCACCAGATATGTGGATTCTATTGGTCTAGGTGGGATGACAGATGATTTGCAGAGTTGAGTCCACTGGGCTAGGGATATCCCAAAGTCAGGGGCTCTGTTTTGTTATTTTCTGAAGCTCCCAGAAATGGGTGACCTAGGGTGAGGATCTGTCTGATGTGGTGGTGGGGTTCCTTGGCAGGCAGGGAGCTAAAGCTCATTCTCTGGTGGGATCCCTCTGGAAGTTGAAAGGACAGCTGGTTCCTACCCGGAGTGTGCTATTTCTCCCAGAGAAGGCCACTGATTGTGTCTACATGTCATGATCTCAGCGGAGTTCTGCAAGTCCTCCAGGCTGGTCCTTCTTGGCTTTCTGAGAGAGGATCCCTTTGGAGGAAAGGAGGAAAGGTGGATGGTGCTGGGATGGGCCTGGGTCTATGTCCTTGTGACTTTCTCAGCCTCTTTTGTGATGAGCACATCTTTCCTCAGATATGTGGATACACTTTCTTACCTCCTGCTCTCCAGACTCTTCAGGGTGACTTTGCAACCTCTGTGTCCTCATCTGGAAGTATTGGTTTATCTCGCACAAGACAGGCATCACCCTGGCCCCACTTACTGACCATTGAGTTTTGATGTTCCACACTAGATGGGGCGGGAGCATCTGTAGTGTGAGTGCCCATGGCTTTGACTCAGTGTCTTGGTATACCAGGAATGTGCCCAGTGTGCTCTGGGAAGGTCACACTCCTTGCTGGCTGCTGGCTCATTGATTAGTTGAGGCATGCTGACTCAGATTTTGTTTTGCCCGAATTCCATTTCAGCCGAGTGCCATGAGTCCTTGGTGGAGCAAATCAAATGGAATGTGTCCCTGACTGGCCAAAACAGTGCCCTGGGTGCTGGATGGTTTCCCACTCAGCATTGTCCTGGGTGTATTCCAGCTGGGCAGAGGTATTCCAGCTGGGCTGTTCTTTGCTATCTCCCCTGCTTTCATGCCCTCCAGGCTGCTCTGCTCCCCAGGCATCTCCTTGTCCTGTTAGAAAGAGCCTTATGACTTCGAGGGGCAGATCTTAACAACAGATAGCTTTTTTAATGCTGGAGGTGCTGTTGGGGTGCTAGTTTCATACAGAAAGGTATTTGCTGCTCCTGCCACTTGCCAGTAACAAGAACCCTTGTTCTTTATCCAGTGGGGACAACTTATGCTGAGCCATTTGCTCCTTTTACTATTTTGTTGGAGGCTGGGAGTAGGGGACTGGGAGAACTTTGGGCCATGGAACTGAGTGGGGATTGGTCTTGACCTTGGTTCATCCATGTTATGTCACAGGGTGGCCTTTACTTGCCTCCTCTTCTCCTCTGGATTCAATGTTTATTGCATTTCTGAGGCCTGTCCTTTTCCAACCCAGGCTGTGGTTTTGCTAGGTTATAATACTCCTGTCTTTTCTGAGACATCCATCCAGGGATGTCCTCAATCCCAGGATTGAGGTCACAAGGGCAGGAAAGCAAGATCAAAGATTGGGTTCTGAATCTGGACTCAACTGTTTAACTAATTTCCTGCCTCATTGTTTCTCACTTATCAAATGTGAATGAACTGAGAAAAAGAATATTCCAGCAGAAGCTGCTGAAAGGACTGGTCACCTCCTTCTTTCCCAGATAGCTTGAAACCTCCTGTGGGCCAAGTTAAGCTGTAAGAAGCTGTGCCCACAGGGAGAGATGTTGCCTCTCACCCTGACAGAAATTGCCTTTTGAGGGCACTTTGGGGTGATCTCATCAGCTGATAGTGATGTCCCTGTTTTGAAGACGCTGTGAAACATGGAGCTCTCTGTGTCTGGTCGTGTTGGTGCTGCCTCCAGGCCTCCTCTTGGGTTCTCTGAGCCATATCGGATGGATGCCTGTTGTTCCAACTGTTTGTTGTTTTATGGACACTGGGTTGTGTGACTAATTAGGTTCCCCATGTGTACCAACTTCTAAACCTATGCCATTCAATACAGGAGCCACATGCCACTGTCTAAGTTGAGATGTGCTCTGCGGGACAAATACATGTGGATTTTGAAGACTTAGTTTAAAAGAAAAAAAAGAGTAAGAGTGTGGTCAATATTTTTTGTTGATTGCATGTTGAAATGATAATATTTTGGATATATTGGGTTACATGTAATGTATTATTATAATTTTACCTGTTTTTTTACCTTTTTAAAGTGTGGCTGCTAGTAAATTAAAAATTCCATGTGCTGTTTATGTTATATTTCTGTTGGACAGCTCTGTTTGAGAAAGTTTAGAGGCAAATTTGTGGCCTTCCTGAGGCAGGGTATACATGGTTGTAGGTGTGCACATTTTCATATCCTTGTTCCTGGTTCCATTGTAGGTTTCTACCTTTGTATTCTTCCTTTTACTATAATTAATGCTGGTTTCCTGTATTCTTACTTGCTGACTCATATCTTTTCAGGATCAGGGTGGGGGGAGTATTGAAATAAAAGGAATAAAATGATATTGTGCATGCCAGCCTGATGCCCTCACTGGGTTGCTGGAAGGGCTGAGTGAAGTGAGTGGGAGCAGCATCACAGCCATATGAATGGAAAGTGTTGGCAGTGTCACTGCCAAGTGCAGGTCATATCTGTGCAGTAGGCAGACACTGGGCTGGGTCCTGCTGGCCTGTCCAGAGGCTGTGAGGCACTTGGAGGCGGATTCCATAGGTGAGTACCAGGCATTTCCTTGGTGTAGACCAGCATTGCTCCTCAGCAGTGCCCTCAGCTTGCCAGGGGCTCTGGAAATTTGTGTGTTTTATTGGGTAGGGGAGGATGACTGTAAGCCAGCACCCATCCAGGCTCTCTGCCACTTCGTGGAAAGCCCTGGGGTGGTTCCATTGCTTCTTTCTTCAGACTGAGGGCCAGTGAGGCACTCAAACTAGCATGTCTGGTGACTTCTCCCTGAGACTCTCCCTCCCTCCCACAGGATGAGCTGCATGGGGACCTGGGGTCATCATCACTCATTGCCCAACCAGGCCGAGAGGCTTCTTGGACTCTACACTCTTCCTTGATCTTGACTGTAATCATCTACCAAGCCCTTGTGATTCTGTGTTCTGCATTTCCTTGGAATCTGCCTTCTCCTTTCCCACCTGGAATATTGAATATAGATTTCACATTTGTCTCCCTGGCTCCTGCAAGCTGTCCTTACATCTCTCAGATCCGCCTTTCTAAACCACAGTCTGCGTGGCACCAGGCTTTTAGGAACTCCCTTTGCCATGAGGAAAAGGCCTGGTATCTCCTCCCGGTGCCTCACCTGACATCTTGTCTGCCCAGGGCACCTGCTTCCCTTGGTTCCCTGGCTACCCACCCTTCACTGGTGCTTTTCTGTGAGTCTTTCAGGGTCTGGCTAGAGAGCAAGTACTCCAGGCATTCTGTCCTGGCTTCCTACTGCCCATGTAAATGACCCTGCCACCCAGAGGGCACCACACCCATTCCTCACAGAACTCCATGTACTGCTGAGGACCTATAGCTTATTTGTGGGGCTTATTTACTGGCTGTGAGCTGCCACCTCTCTCTGTTGTGAATTCTTAGGTCTCACAGTACTGAGAGGTGATAAATATGCAGTAAACGTGTGCTAAGTGAGTAGCCTTGCCCTGGCCCAGGGGGTTGTCTTCTCTCTCTCTGGGGAAGAGCTCCAAGGAGACTCCCCCAGTGTGAGGAAGTAGTGAGATCTGATGGAGAGTGAGGCATCACTGCCATTTGCCTGTGACAGATTCTGAATCTTGATTTCCTCATTCTTAAAATGGGTGTTTTATTACCCAACGCAAGGTGGAGTTGTGAGGATTCCATGACATAGTGTGTATTAGGTCTCTGACAAGGAGACATTCGACAGTCACCTCCTCCATTTCTTTTCCCTTTCCCGAGCATCTCACCTTCTGTCCTTGGTCAGGTGGGGCTTTCTCTCTGTACATTGCTCCTGCCCTGCACAGTTCAACTAGGCTACTTCCTTTCACTGCTCTAACTCAACACCCCTCTCTGTGACAGGAGGAGCTGGAGCATCTGAACCAGGCCAGTGAGGAGATCAACCAGGTGGAACTGCAGCTGGATGTGAGTGGTCCTCCTTCTCATGCCCTTGAGCTGGTCCACGGGGTTCTCTCCATCTGTCTCTTTCCGAGACACTGGAAAAGGGAAGGGCCTGTATGAAAGGCTGGGGCTCTCATACTCGCCTTCCCTCTGCCTGTCCCATTGCCAGGAGGCCAGGACTACTTATCGGAGGATCCTGCAGGAGTCGGCGAGGAAGCTCAACACACAAGGTTCGCACTTGGGGAGCTGCATCGAGAAGGCTCGGCCCTACTATGAGGCTCGGCGGCTGGCTAAGGAGGTATGGCCGGCCGACCTGTGTTTGGGGAGGACGCACAGTGCGCAGAGCTTGTTCCTGGACTGTTCTCTGGGCCATACCTTGCTGTGCTATGAACCAGCTCTGTGGGCTGAGGAAGTTTTTGCTATTGCAGGCCCTGGGCTCATGGTCTAAAAAATGGTGGCGGGATGGATGCAGGAGGCTGGTCCAGAAAATTTAGTTCAGTCTTGCTAACGTTTAAGTGTCTTGTAAGAAATCAGGGTTTAGGGTATATGAGATTGTCAGTTCTATCATCCTACTATTTTCATCTTTTCCATTTTTTCTCTTTCCTTTGGTTCATGTCTCTTTTTCCCACCTCTCTTCTTTGCTTATCTCCCCCCCCCCATCCCCTCCTCATTTATTCTTCACCTCGCCTTTTTTTCTTTACACAAGTAATGCGTGTTCACCATTGGAAGACTGTAATAAAAACTAGAAGAAAACCTAAATTGTCCCAAATTCTATTGTGCACATGAGTCATGGTTTGTTTTAATCCCATGATTTGTTTTAATCTGGTATGGTAAGGTGATAGACATGGGGTCAACTTCCTTGAAAGAAGAGTTTATTCCCAAGAGGAGGAAACATGTCATGCCATGCAAGGCTACACGGGCGAGCACTAGGGTCCATCAGGAGGCAGGAGAAGTAGGACAAAGCTTTGCCCAGAGCCTTTATTGTGGTTTTCATGGGAAAGAATGGGTGAGGCAGGGTAGACAAGTTTGAGTAATTTTAGATAGTTTGGATAATAAGTAAGTTAGTAAGTTTGGATAGTTTGAATGATTTTGGCAGGCTCTGGGCCATAGGGGTGGTCTCCAGTTGTCTAGTACCAGGCCCTGAGGTGATTTAGGGCAAGGCAAATATTGGCTTGGGCGGTGTTAGATAAAGGAGGTAGTTGTGGATCTGGGCTTTGGATTGGTTGGTTTGCATATGAAAGGTATACTTGCAGGGGAGTTTACTATCTCTAGGAATTAGCTAGCCCTTGGAGGGGCAATTTCTCCTTGGCCAGCAAGGCCCGCAAGATGTCAAAGCATCATAAAATATAGAAAATAAAAAATATGATTAATATAGCACAGATAACCATGTTGTTGTTGTTATTTTAAATAACATTTTTGTATATATCCTGCCAAAATGAGACTACATAGCATTTACTGTGTTTTTTGTGTGTGCGTATGTGGCTGGCTGGTATGAGGATCTGAATTATGTGCTATTTTTGTTCCTTTATTCTAGTGTTATGACATAGTTCCATGTCAACCAATATCTATCCATGCCATCATTTTTAAGGACGGATTAATATTTCCTTATGTTAGAGTGACTATATTTGTTTAACCAGTTCCCTATAACTGAAATCTTAGGTTTGTTTCTACTTTTTTGCTTGGTTAGAATGGCTGTGACGAATATTTCTGAGCTCTTGTTTGATAATTTCCTTCAGCTTACCCACTGGATGTGGAATTGATGGTCTTTGGTCTCAGGAGCATACTTTCTATAAGACTTCGTCCATGTTGCTAACCTCCTTCCAATTAAAATGGTTCAGATTTTCCTTTGTTCTCCCTAGGGCAAAAAGCCATCAGCCTTTGAGAGTACTGGATTTCACACACCCAACCTCCACTGGCAATATTATTCTTTTAAATATTTATTACTACATTTATTTTTTCTCCTAGTCTATATTCTTATGAGACATTCTTTATAGAATATTGCTTCCTTGGCATTTATCCTTAGTGTACTTTGGGAAATGAAGATGACGTTGCAAATGGGCCTTCCTCTTTCTCTTGTCCTCACCCCCATGATGGGTCTCCATGGGCTTTTGGGGTTACCTCAGGGCATCTGGGGCTCTCTGCCCTGATGGCTCTCTCTCCCCCAGGCCCAGCAGGAGACCCAGAAGGCAGCACTGCGGTACGAGCGGGCTGTGAGCATGCACAATGCTGCTCGGGAGATGGTGTTTGTGGCAGAGCAGGGCGTCATGGCTGACAAAAACCGACTGGACCCCACGTGGCAGGAGATGCTCAACCATGCTACCTGCAAGGTGAGCCGGGCAGCGTGGCAAATTCCCGTCACTGGTTCCTTTGCCATCCTTTTCATCAGTTCGCCTCCTCATTCCTTCCTCTCTCTTCCCTCAGCATTGATTCTCTTTCAGGCAAAACCTTTTCCTAGCTCTCTAGGAAAGTCCTTCCTCTCTCTTCCCTCAGCATTGATTCTCTTTCAGGCAAAACCTTTTCCTAGCTCTCTAGGAAAGGTTTGACCTCCACTGCTTTCCATATTTCCCTCTGACTTAGAATGTCATCTTGGGCTCTTCTCGAACCTTTGCCTCCAGCTGTGGGAATAACAGAAACAGTTCATTCCTGGTGGATGTTCTGCATTCACCATTTACATTTTGTTATGTTTAGCTATGTGGCTCTTCACTTTGTTTTTCAAAATGTTCTCCCTTTCCTGTTTTTGGGCTCTGGCAGTATACCTTGATTTTTGAATGATAAATTATATGTCATTTCCAAGATCCTGAAAGGGGCTGGGGAGCAGGAGGATCCCTGGCATTGACTCAGTCTGCCACCTTCAGCTTATCCAGGGCAAGTCACTCCTGGGGTGTGGTTTTGTCTTGTGATTCTTCCTGTGCTCCTCACACAGAGCACACACTCTGTTTCTATTCTGGAGCTCACGCAAATGAGAGTACAGAGCACTGAGGAAGGGGTTGTTGAAGCTATGTGAGGCAGGGCGTTAAGTGATAGTGGGAGCCTGCAAGGTTGGATGGGGCTCCTGTGTGCATCTCCCCAGGATGTGGCACAGTCAGCCCACTGGTCTTGGTAGATAAGGTGGCCAGAACCCTGATCTCCTCCCTACTCAGATGTAACAACTCTGGCCTGTGCATGCATGAGGTGTGGAAAGCTGGAGAACCCAGTTCCCCACACAGGGGCTTCTCCAGTCCTCTAACCCCTAGCCACTGACAACTGAGGCCTCCCCAGGACAATACTGCTGCAGACGTGTGATGTGCTTATAGACAGATGTTCCCTCAGTGCTCACAGGTGGTTGAGGGCCTCTAGTACCTCTTTCCTGGCAGTGGCAAAGCTGAGTGGCAGGTGGTGGAGGTGATAGTAGACAAGGCATGGGGAAGAGGTGGCTGTAGAGGCAAATGCTGGAAGACCAGGAGGTCGGGCAGCAGGTCCAGAAGATATGGAGAGAAGCTCTCTTGAGGCTCATGGGCCCACTGTTCTCTGTGTCTGTGGCTCTGCAGACAGTCAGGGGTTTGCAGAGGATGTTCCTGTTCAGTTTCCCCCTAGAGCAGCGCTCAGATTGGCAGCCTGGGGCAGATGCCATGGACTGAACTGTGGGTTCCAGCTAAGTCATGTATGTCCTCCACCCCACGTTGGTCAGGTGAACGAGGCAGAGGAGGAGCGGCTTCGAGGTGAGCGGGAGCATCAGCGGGTGACGCAGCTGTGCCAACAGGCTGAGGCTCGGGTCCAGGCCCTGCAGAAGACTCTCCGGCGGGCCATCGGCAAGAGCCGCCCCTACTTCGAGCTCAAGGCCCAGTTCAGCCAGATTCTGGAGGTAGCTGAGTGGGAGAGGGGGAAGAGCAATGAGCATGCATGGAAAGTGAGGGCAGGTAGAGGGGATACTGGTCTGCTTCTCGGGGCCATCCTGGTGGAGTGGGCAGGGTGAGGCCTCTGCCAGACAAGTCAGTGGTGAGGATGGGTGGTAGCGTGTATGCTCATAAAGACTCTACAGCTGGGGGCTGGTGGTGGCAGAGGATGTAGTTGAAGAAGAAAGATAAGCAAGAGAAAAAGAGAATTGATAGAACCCGGGGGATAGGGAAGAAGAACTAGGCAGATGGGGAAGGGGAACAATGGGAGAGGAGGAAGAGGGACTGGTGGGGATGAAGGCCTGGAAGGCAGGCTGTAGAAGGTGGGGCTCAGGTTAGCCGCAGGGTGGGATTAGTGGAAAAAGACAACTAGAGGAGCAGAGTGGATGGGAGAAGGGTATTGCAGCTCTGTGGTGGGAGCTGAGTGCAGCCAGCCAGACTGGGAAGGCCTGCGGGGACCTCAGTGCAGAGTGCTGAGGGGGACAGAAAGACATCCCATGGGCCACCTCATTCTTTTCCTCTGCAGGAGCACAAGGCCAAAGTGACAGAACTGGAGCAGCAGGTGGCCCAGGCTAAGACCCGCTACTCAGTCGCCCTGCGTAACCTGGAGCAGATCAGCGAGCAGATTCATGCACGGCGCAGGGGCCTGCCTCCCCACACCCCAGGCCCGCGGCGTTCCTCCCCCATAGGGGCTGAAGCGGGGCCAGAGGGCATAGAGGATGGGGACAGCGGGATCGAGGGGGCTGAGGGTGGGGGGCTGGAGGAGGGCAGCAGCCTGGGACCTGGCCCTGCCCCCGACACGGACACGCTGAGCCTGCTGAGCCTGCGCACTGTGGCCTCTGACCTACAGAAGTGTGACTCGGTGGAGCACCTGCGGGGTCTTTCAGACCACGCCAGTCTGGACGGCCAAGAGCTGGGACCCCGGAGTGGTGGGCGCCGGGGCAGTGATGGTGGGGTCCGTGGGGGTCGCCACCAGCGCAGTGTCAGTCTGTAGCCTAGTAACCAGGGCTGTTGGCTTGACTCTCCACCGTGGGTCAGTCAGGGCCCACAGACTTCTCCCAATCCTCTGGGGTCCTCTTGTCCCTGAGGTCCCCTTCTCCAGTGCTTTTCTGGGAGTGGTCAGCTGTGTCTGAGTCCTCTGTGTCTGCGCTGGCTTTCTCATAGTCTCTGCCTCTCCCCTCTCCCCTCAAGAGGCAGCTCTCTCTTTGCCTTATCCATTTGGAAGGCTTGCTCTCTGGTAAGGCTTGCTCTCTGGCGTTCTCATCTTCCTCTCCTCCTGCTGGTTCCTCTCAGTCTGTCCCGTACCCTTTGCTTTCCTCTTTCTGTCTGACCTCCCTCCTTCCATCTGTCTGGCTTTTCCCCTCAGGGAACTTGGTCTAGAAGGCACAGGGAAACTCAGAGAAAATGGGTAATGGGCTTGAGTGAACAGATGGACAGGGTCCCCTCCTGTTGGTCCCTGGCCTGCCCACTTTCCCAAGGCAACTCTCAAGGGTGCCCTAGGTATGCTGCTGAGCCCTTCTGGCAGCCCTGTGCCCCTGTCCTGTCCTAGCCACCTGTGTGTAACTTGTAAGATGAACTGCGTGCCTCTGGAAGACACCACCCTTCCCTTCAGCACTCCCCTTCATGGTCTGAGCCTCTGCTTCTGTACTTCAAAGCAGAAGTTGCAGGATGCCAGTGTTAGGGAGGGGAACTCAGTCCTATTGTCAACATAGGGCTCCTGTGTGCATGGCTTTTCCCCAGCTGGACTGGGTCCTTAACATTGCCAAGGTGCTAGTGGGTCCCTAACAGGGTTCATGTGGGGCAGAGATGTGAGGAGGTCCTGAAGGCCAAGGCCTCTGCCAGTCCTGCCACCTTACACTCTTGCTTTGGAGTTGGGTTTATTTTTCTGGGTAAAGGATGCTGAACTGAATCTCAGCACCCTCTTGCAGGGTGGGGTTAGGGAATTTGGTGCTCAATTGCTCTCCCTTGCTCTTCCCCAAATTAAACAGTACCTACTCCAGGATTCTTCATGGAATGCTCAAGCTTGGCTGCCAAGCCTCTTACCTCCACTGGTGCGGAGGAGGAGTCATTCTGATGTGAGGGGTCCTACCCTCCGCAGGGAGCAGCTCCAGGTGCCTGGCAGTGATGCCAGGTGGTGGGGTTGTGGGGAAGCCACACCAGATCTGGGGTCTTGAGAGAGCTGGTCTTCCTGTCCCATCCCGGGAGGGAAGAAGGCCTAGGCCTGTGCACTGCTGCAAGTTACTGGGGAAGGAGTGAGCCTCTGCACAGGTGTCTATTTTCAGGTCAAGGGAGGGTGGTCACAATGAGAACCTCTAGGTTTGAGGTGGCCGTGGGTGGAAAGGAGAAAGGGAGGAGTGTGTGTGTGTGCATGTGCTGGTGTGTGTGGGGTAAATGGTCTGCCCTGTTTTTATTTAAATAAAGTAGTTTATGTAACAGTAATGTTTACTGTCCTTGATGGAGGAAGGAAAAGGGGCAAAGATGGGGGGGTGCAATGAGGGCCCCTTTAGATGGGATGGTCAGAAAAAAGAGGTGAAGGACCAGCTGGAGTGAGCCAGGCTATGGGAGGAGAGGAAGAAAGGAGTGCGTGCTCTTGGGGTGGTATGAGGCTTCATGGCCAGGGTGATCATGCACAGGGCAAGTGAAGATAAGCCAGAGGATTTGGTGCCCTGTGGGGCTGTGCTGTGAGGTGATGGGTGCCAGTGGAGTACTTGGCATCGAGAGGCATGCAGGGTGGAGTGTATGCTGTTAGAACCAAGAGATGAGGGTGCCAGAGGGGTAGGATCTTGTATGTGTCTGGACATGAGCTTGAAGGAAAGGGAGGGATAAAAGTAGAGAAGCTGGATTCATCAAATAAAGTTTCAGACAATAACTTTTGACCACTGCAGTGTTTAGGACATATAAGTTACCCATTGTGTATCTGAAACAAATTTAACATAGATAAAAGGTGTCTCCCAAGTTGAAGGTCTTGACTAGTTGAGGGGTGGCAGGGGTTGAATGCATCTGGGCTCACTGGTGAGAGATGCCTGTGAAACTTCTGATGGAATCAGGTCGGGGAGGGGTATGAACTTCAGATTCCCTGGAGGTGAACAGCAAAAGGCTTTGGCCTGAGCCCCATCTGCAGTAGGCCAGCATTTAGAGCTGGGTCGAGGGGAGGGGTAAGCCAAGGGAAGGAGAAGACGTTGTCTGGTTGGAGGGTTGGCCGTGGAGGACCAGGAGGGGCCAAGAATTGGAAGGACACAAGCAAAGCAGTGACCCCGGTGACTTTACATGCCAAAGGGACCATCAGGAGCCACTATGTTCAAAGTACTCTGTATGCCATTTGACAGGTGATGTACAGTTCTTTGAGCCCACCTTCCCTGACCTGGCAAATGGGTGCCAAAACGTTTCCTTTATTACTAGAAAAGCTGCTATGAAAATGTGTAGTTTATGTCTGGGTGAATAGGCTATTTTAGAAGAACTTTTTACTTGTATATATTTAAGGTGAACGGCATGATATTTTGTTTTATGTAATGAAATCGTTTCTGTAGGCAAACAAAATTAGCATATCCATCATTTTGCATAGTTTCCTCCCCCTTTTTTTATGGTAAGAGTACCTAAAATCTACTCTCAGCACATTTTCAGTATACAATATTATATGAGAATACTAAGGAAGTTTGTAGAAAAACAGAATTAAAAGTTATGAATCTTTCCATGAACTTTTTGAAACAGCCTTGTAGTCCTCATGAGTGGGCTTTCTGAGATGACACTACCAGGTTGCACTTCCCCGTCCAGGCCCTGGCAAGTGGGGCCTGTAAGGCTCCTGGTGCAAAAGAACCAAAGAACAGAAGGGCTGGGCTGTGCCCATGCAGTTCCTACTTGCAAAATCACCAGATAAGGCAAAGGTGGAGAGAGACCAGGAGGGTGAGAACTAACGGTGTTTCCTTCAAGTGGGGGGGAAAAAAAAAAACCACACAGCAAATGAGCCCTCCCACCCTAACAATAGTGGCTTGAACTCATTCAGTGCATATCATGTGCCAGGCTCACACACCTGTTTGATCCCCACAACATTATGGGATAGGAAATAAGTTTATTCCCTTTTCACAGATGAGAAAATGAGGCACAGTGGATGGACACCACATCCAGCCTGTCCCAGCCTTGCAGAAGGTAATGGAGGTAGCTGTCACCAGGCACTTAGACTCTAGAGTCCAAACTCCTGAGCTCTTGAGGGACAGGACACTAGGGAGGACAAGGAAGGAGGTGCACTCTTGAGTGATGGACCTCACAGGAACAGGTGGTGAGAAAGTGGAGGAAGATTTTTTGCTGGGAAGGAGAGCTGAGTAATGATCATTTTTCAGCTCTTCTTCCCAGCAAAGAGGGGCAAAGGATGAGGGTCAAGGGAGTTTGTTGTTTAAGGTGAGCAAGAAATGGTCAAGATATGAGGCCTTGTTCCTCATTCTTGTACTGTGTTATGTCACATGTCACACTGGGCGGTGATAAGTTCTGAACTGTGTCCTCCCAAAGAGAGGGGCTGGGGCCTCACCTCAGTCTCCCTGACACCTGGTGCATGCCTTGCACCTAATAAATGCTCAATCTATGTGCTTTTGCTTCTTTCCCCTGCTCCCATCCCAAACCTACACCAGGGGACTTTATCGGTACAGCAGTTAGGAGGTCAGAATGTGGTGATGACAATCCCAGGAGCAAATCTCCACTCAGATTTCTTTATGCTTCAATTCTATCACCTATAAAATGGGACAATGTAGGTGTGCATAGCAGGATGCTACATCAGTGGATGTTAGTCCCAATGATTCTTGTTAGCAGTTCTCTGCAGCTTCAGGATGCTTAACTTAAGGAGGTCTCTTCTCATCTTGTGCTAGACAAGGAGGATATTTGCAAAAGGGTTTCGTTTCCCTTCTCATGTGAGTGTGATTTTGACAAGTCTAACTTGGGCCCTCCGTCTGAAGATGGTTCTGCTCTGGTGTGCAGCAGGGAGATGGTCTTCTTGGGCTGTCAAGGTCATGCTCTATCAGCAGGGGGCAGCAGCCACCAGAAAGCAGATGGAGAGCGCCCTGTGCTGAGCATTTCCATGTGTGTCCTCCAGGCCTACTAGGCCTGCACCATGGACACTTCGCAGAGGGTTGTGAGAAACTGCTTACAGAGGAGTGGGGGAGTGAATACACCAGAATAGAACCCTGTCTGTCCTCTCACAGTCCTCTTGCATCCTGGAGTGTCCTTGGAATCACCTCCTGTGGGTGAGAGCTGAGCCAAGTCTGGACTCAGGGGGGTCCTTTGAGATAAGATGTTCAGTACCTGTTGATGTACCTTGTTCTCCTCAGAGTTCACCTCCTTCCTTGTCCTCCCCAGAGTCCTGTCCCTCTGCCTTTCTACAGCCTCCTTCCACATTCCCCCACCCACACCTCCCCATCATTCCTGAGCCCCAGGCTGCAGCACTCTGCTCATGCCTTGGGATGAGGGAACCAGGGAGCCATTTCACTGGTTGGCAGATGGATGTATGTAGTTTATTACAGAATATTTATCAGGATCTTTCAGTGTACAAAACATTGTTGGGAATATTACAAAGTATAATACTGTGGGTAGGGCTTCCAGGTAAAGAATGCAGGTGTGCACAGGTAACAGGTGATACAGGACAATAAAAAATAGATAAGAGGGCTGCAGTCAAGGAGTGATCTGGGAGGTTAGTAAAGAAAGTGGGGCTTCCAGTACAGGACTGTTCCCCAAAGTTCTGTACCAGTCCATTGCTCTCAGACTGGAGAGGTGGTGGCAGGAAGTCCCCCTCCCCCATCCTGGGATCCTCTGGTTCCCTTTTCTCACTGTTTTTCCAAAATCTGTCCTGTGCTTCTCCTGCCAGGGCCAGCGTCTTACCCATTCTGGTGTTTTCAGGGCCTGGGACATGGCACTTTTTCACCAACTGTCTTTCCACTGACTTGCTTCTGCTTGTGCTACCCTTGGCACAAATTTTCTGCTTTTCAACTTGTGTAATTTCTGCCTGTGGTTGATGCCATGCTCATATGGACTTTTAACAGAAGGTCTTTCTGGTTCTTCAGCTGTCTAGCTCAGTCTGAATTAACTTCTGTCACCCCCAAGTTCCTCATGGCTCTTTGGACTTATTGGAGAACTGGCCTGATGTAAGCATATGTCTTCTGTTGTTTCTAAGCCCCTGGAAGGAAGGTTAGGTGTCGTCCCTGACTCAATTACTCAACGCATAACATGGTACATTAGGCACTATATGGACAGTGACCATATGTGATGTATAGTCTAAATCAGGGCAGTTGAGTGTGAAAGGGGGCAGTTGTGATGCAGGACTGTCTCAGGTGATCAAAGGCATATGGTCACCCACATGCTAGGTACTCATTCAACATTAGTTCTCAAGCGTTGAACACACTGTCTAGAGAGGGTTGTCCTTGGCCTGTTCATGAGATACAAAGCTCATTGTCACCCCTCGTGCCCATGATGTGAGGGACAGGTTCATGCTGGGGGCATACCCATTACCAGAAATTACTTTTGTACCCCTTGTCCCCACCGAATTATTCCCCAACCTCTCTTCCCCTCCTCTTCTCCCCCCTGACTCTGCTTTGTAGCCCTAGGAATGTTCCCTCCTTCTGTAAGACAACCTCACTACTGTTCCTTCCTTTCTCTCTTAGCTTCCACATATGAGTGAGCACATGTGGTATTTATCTCTCTGTGCTTTGCTTATTTCACTCAACGTAAGTTTCTCCAGGTTCATCCATGTTGTTGCAAATGGGAGTATTTCATTCTTTTTTATGGCAGAGTAGTATTCCATAGTGTAGATATACCACAGTTTCCTTATCTAATCATCCATTGATGGACATTTAGGTTGGTTCCATATCTTGGCTTCTATAAACAGAGCTGCAATGAACATGGGAGTACAGTATTGCTTCGACATAATGATTTCTATTCCTGTGGGTATGTACCCAGAAGAGGGATTGCTGGATCATATGGAAGATCTATCTGTAGTTCTTTGAGAAACCTCCACACTGTTTTCCATAGTGGTTGTACTAATTTACAGTCCCACCAACTGTGCAGGAGCATTCCCTTCTCTCCACACGCTCGCCAGCATATGTTTATTCACCATCTTTTTGATTGTAGCCAGTCTAACTGGAGTGAGGTGATATCTCAATGTAGTTTTAATTTGCATTTCCCTGATGACTAGTGATGTTGAGCATTTTTCATGTCTCTGTTTGCCATTTGTATGTCTTCTTTTGAAAAATGTCTATTCAGCTCCTTTGCCCATTTTTTGATTGGGTCGTTTATTTTTTTTTACTGTATAATTGCCTGAGTTCTATGTATATTCTGGATATTAATCCCTTGTTGTATGTTAGCAAAAATTTTCTCCCACTCTGTAGGTTTATTCACTCTATTGATGTTTCCTTTGCTGTGCAGAAGCTTTTTAGTTTGATAAAGTCCCATTTGTTTATTTTTTCTTTTGCTGCTTCTGCTTTCAGGCTCATGTTCATAAAGCCTGTGCCCAGACCTAATTGTTTCACCTATATTATCTCTTAGTAAGTTTACAGTTTCAGGTCTTATACTTAAGTCTTAAATCCATTTTGAGTTGATTTTAGTATAGGGTGAAAGGTGCATATCTATTTTCATTGTTCAGCATATGGATATCCAGTTTTGCCAGCACCACTTGTTGAAGAGACAGTCTTTTCCCCAATGTAGATTTTTGTTGCCTTTTCCAGTCTCAGATGGCTGTGAGTCTGAGGAGTGATTTCTGGGTTCTCAATTCTACTCCACTGCTCTGAGTGTCTGTTTTTATGCCAGTATCATGCTGTTTTGGTTACAATAGCTTTATAGTATATTTGAAGTCAGTAGTGTTATGCCTCTGGATTAATTTTTTTCTTGCTCAGGATTGCTTTGGCTGTTCGGGATCTTTTGTTCTCCATATGAAAGTTAAGATTGTTTTTTTCCATTTCTGTGAAGAATGTCATTGGTATTTTGATGGGGATTGCATTGAATCTGTAGATTGCTTTGGGTAGTATAGACATTTTCACAATGTTAATTCTTCTAATCCAAGAACATGGAATATCTTTCCATCTTTTTGTGCCTTTTAAAATATCTTTCAGTACTGGTTTGTAGTTCTCATTGTAGAGATTTTTCACCTCCTTGGTTAAATTGACCCCTAGGTATTTTATTTTTTTCATGACAATCGTAAATGGGCTAACTTTATTTTTCTTTCTGTTAGTTCATTATTTAAGTATATAAATGCAACTGATTTGGGGGCATTTATTTTGTATTCTGCAATATTATTGAAGTTATTAACCAATTCTAGGAGTTTTTGATAGAATCTTTACATTTTTCTGTATATGGTATCATGTCATCTGCAAACAGAGGCAGTTTGACTTCATCTTTTTCAATCTGGATTCCGTATATTTCTTTCTCTTGTTTAATTGCTCTGGCTAGCACCTCCAGTACTATGTTAAATAGAAGTGGTGAGAGTGGGCATCCTTGTCTTGTTCCTGTTCTTAAGGGAAAGGCCCTCAGTTTTCCCCATTCAGAATGATAGCGATGGTGGGCTTGTCATAGATGGCTTTCATTATATTGAGATACTTTTCTTCTATACCTAATTTGCTGAGAGGCTTTATGATAAAGTGATGTTGAATTTTGTCAAATGCTTTTTCAGTATCAATTGAGATAATAATATAGTCTTTGTCATTGAGTTTGTTGATGTGATGTATCA